GACCACTATCAATCGGCTGCCGCTTGGTAGTATTTCCCAGCACCATCCTTGCTTGTCACTTGACCTGGAGTGGCCCAGGCTGGTCTCGATCTCATCAGATCTCGGGGTCTGCCCTGGTTAGTATTTGGATGGGAGACCACCAAGGAAGCCCAGGGCCGCTACACAGACGCAGGCAGTGGCAACCCAGCTCTGAGCGTCTCTTACTTTGAAGACCTCACCGGGTCACCACAAGCCTGCTGTGACTCGATAGCATTTCACACACATGCGCAATTGGATCGGACTGCCGAGGAAGTTGAGGGTTGCTATGCCAGAAGCAGGCAATGGTTGGTTTGTGTGCACTTTGTTTATACCCCAGGTTGGTGTAGTGGTTAGGAGCACAGACTGGGAGAACCAGGTTGGATTCCCTGCTCCTCCACAGGCAGCTGCTGGTGTGACCTTGGGTCAGTCACAAGTTCTTACAGAGCTGTTCTCTCAGGAGCAGTCCTCGAAAGGGCTCTCTCAGCTCCGCCTACCTCACAGGGTGTCTGACGTGGGGAGGGGAGGGGAGGAGAAGGAGATTGTAAACCGTTCTGAGACTCCGAATGAAGGGCGGGGTATAAATCCAATCTCCTTCTCTTTTCTCCCCAAATGGGATCCAAAGCCGCTTACAACATCCTCCCCATCCTCCACTTTATCCTCACAACAACCCCATGAGGTAAGTTAGGCTGAGAGTTTATGACTGGCCCAAGGTAGGGCCAGCCAGCTTCCATAGCAGAGTGAGGATTCAAACCTGGGTCTCCTAGATACTAGTTTGACACTTTTGGGGCCGGAGCGCGCCGGAGCACTGCTCCGGCAGCCCAGGAACTGGCACAAATGGTGGCGCGGTAAGCCACGCAGCTGGATCCCCCGGGCCCGCGGTAAGTAAGGGATCCGCAGGGGTGGTGGTGGTGGGGGTTTAATGGGTGGTGGTGGGAGAGCCTCCCTCCCTCCATCTCTTTGCCATCTTTCCCTCCTTTCCTTTCCCTCCTTTTCTTTCTCTCTTTCGCTT